TTTGAAGCTTAATTTTTAACTTTTTAAAGTTTATTTTAAAACTTTTTTTTAAAACGTTAACCCCTAGTTAGCCTAACGCCAAATCCCCCAATTCCCCACTAACTTCCACCCACCCCAGCTAGCTAAATATATAATTTTAAAATATTTTAATTAATTAATTAAATAAATTTAACCCCTGAGGGTTAAAAAAAAAAAAAGAATTAACCCTCAGGGGTTAAAAAAAAAATCAGATCATAGTAAAATGTAATCCTTGTAATCAGTGATCAATTGGCAGGGAAGGGGTTAATTTTTCATTAAAATGGGTAAAGGGGGGTGGGATTTTAAATTAACTTTATTTATTTTTCCTACAGGGGGCAGGATCATCACTGATCCGGCTCCCTGCACTTCACACAGAACCCGGAAGTGCAGGGAGCCGGTAGGTGAGTATACAGAGCACATGTGCTCGCTCTGACTTGCGGTCAGAGCGAGCACATGTGCTGCGCAGCCTGACCGGGTGCTCCCGGTATGCCTCTAATGCAGAGGCATACCGGAGCACCATTAACCCCGCGATAGCGGCGATTCGGGGTTAATTTTACCGCGTGACGGACGAGGTCCGTCACCCGTCGTTAAAGGTCTCCCCTCTGTGACGAGTATGTTTTCCTGGCACTATAGTGGTCCTTTAAGATAATAAATTTATATATATTAATAATAAAGAAAATTTAGATTTGGTTGATTTGTAACAGATCAAAGCTGAACGTCTTCATGTACCAAGTCATGGTTTCACCGATAGTGTTTACGGAGCGTGGAGTGCCCTGGTGAAGCCTCTGTGCTAGAGTTGCAAGTGAACACACTCACGCACGGCTTTCCAATGCCTCTTAATGAGCTGTAATACAGCTTACTGAGAAGGGGAGAGGCAGATACACGCACGCACAGAGCAACTGCCACTTCAATTAGCTCTATGGAGCGAACGAAATTAGAAGAAAACCTCCCTGGCTGTCTGAATGACAGAATTAAAGTGTTCCTGCCCCCCCTTATAAAGATACCAATTTCTATTAAATTCAATACTTTTATAAACCGCCAGAATCATGACAGCAAGTTGAAGTGCTCTATGTGCGTAGAATGGTCCTTTAACCAGGGGAGGCTGTGATCTAAAATGAAACATGAACACAAATGTTAAAATATATATTAACAATAGAGATTCCCATTAAGGACCAGCTTATATCAAAGTATCTCCAGTTGTAAATGTGTCTATATATGCGTTACAGGTTGTAACAGACTATAACTTAAAAACCAGAGAGGAAAGAAAAGTATTTTGGTGGGCATCAGTACCATGCAGGCATCACTTAAACAGACTGCTTTTTCTACCAACTTTATCTTTTATGACCAGCTTCATGAGCTTACCACGAAGAAAAGGACTTGTGTCCTGGTTCCCCTGAAGAAGTTCATGCTTAATGAACGAAACGCATCGGGCCTTTTACTGTTAGAGTTTTTTTCCTGTTATATACAGCCACTAGAGGGCACTTCCGTGTTTATAGCACACGAAAAGTGTGCTATAGCGTCGCTAGACGTCCTCACACTACATGAGGACCTCCAGCGTCGCTGAAATCCCCATAGGAAAGCATTGCCGCCCATGCGCATTAGGTCTCCCCCACCGGTGGCCGTGCATGTTCAATAGGTCTCTCCCGCCGGATGACGTTGGCGGGGAAGGAGCGTGGGCGGACCCTGACCCAGCGCCGAGGGACATCATCGCTGGATACAGGTAAGTCACTGAAGGGGTTTTAACCCCTTCAGAACTTGGGATGGGGGTGGGAGGGAGAGGGGACCTGCAGTGCCAGGAAAACTGTTTTCCTGGCAATGGAGAGTCCCTTTAAAGATGTGAATCGTTATAGAAACTCTGCACTATTATTTTTTCCTTTCCTTCCACATGTCCTGATATTGATACGAGATGATTTTATTACAATACTGATATGCCTGCAATCAATCTGGGTTTGTGAGTGAATTTCAATCAAAATATCCTTTCACTCCATATATACAATATTGCCCTATGTCTCTCTATTATACCTTTGCATTGTAGATGACCTGTTTTGTTGTGTCTACACTCTATTTTGAGGACCAGGAGGAGTCCTTTATCTACATCCTGTCAGTGTATTAGGGTAATTCGTTTATTCAATTATTTTACCCCGACAGTGTTTCTTTTCCACTGTAGGTGTTTTTTATATTTGTTTTTGAGTTTTCAGATAATGAAGGTATAAGGACATGAGATATAGATATGGTACAAATAAGGAGGTGGAAGGAATAGATAAATTTTTATACAGGGACATGACTGGGAGAGGTAGGAACTGGTTTACTAGGGTTAGGAAAGGCAAGGTTATTTACCAAAGTGAGAATTTATATAAAAATTTTAAAAAGTTACCATTTCTGATTTAAGAAGTGGTCATGGTGATTTTAACATGTATACGCAGTGTTTCAAAATGTTGCACATCAGGTCACTGGCTGCTCACTGTACAGCGAGTAAGGGCAGTGGGGAGAATTGAACCTCCCTTTATTTACCAAGTAAGTTTTACTTAGTATTAGTAACGTTGACCAATTTGGCAGTTTTTTAGCAGATAGCTCCCTAATATTTGTGGGACTGCAATTATAACCGATAGGGTACCAATTTAGGGGGTTATCCACGGATCAGAATTTCACTCATCTAATTTATTCCGAAAATAAATTGATATACTGTTGACATTCTCTTCGGACCAAATTCAGTCATTTCGGCGGCGTCCTAGTCTACATGACAGGACGTTCAGAAATGCCAAATGTATGCAGCGCGAGAATATGGAGGAAAGGTGAGTATTGTGGGAAAACTTTCTTCATACAGGAAGTGAAGCTTACCTAAAGGGACACTATAGACACCCAGACCATTTAGCAATAATATATTCGCAGGGTTAACTCCACCTCTAGTGACGGTCTACCACTAAGTCCCCAACAGACGCGGGAGTGTGGGGGCACTATAGTGCTAGGAATACACTTTCAGTTCTCCTTTAACCTCCCTAAAACGTTTGCAAAGCTTAGAGTTAGTTTGTCTATGTCCAGTCAGCACTAACACTGGCCTAGTGTTTAACCCTTAATTGTAATAGATTCAAATATATAAGGAAACCCAACATTGTATCTAAAGCAAGCATGTCAAACGTGCGGCTCACAATAAATATATTTCCGGCCCTGGGGGTCACTTTGTGTTGTGGCTGCGACCAACCGCAAGACAGAAAAGATATTTCCCACCCTGCGGAGCTCAGTCAGTTTTTTAGCGTCGGAATTTTATTTTTTTCCCCTGCGCTCTGGTATTTTTTCATTTTATAAGTTCGATGGGTATTATGGATTTTTGTTTGGCCTTTTTTGGGGCTGACAAAAGAAAGTTTTAGAAAAAAGACGACATCAAATGGTAAGTATTTTTATTTTCTTACAGGTATATAGTTTTATGGTCTCAGCCTCACTATTTTTAGGGTGAGGGTGGTAGGTAAGGCTTTTATTGAATTTTTGTGTGTGGGGTGACTAGTCACCTGGGGGGGAGGGGGGACGACTATTGCCCATTGTTGTTTAGGGCCCCCACCAACTGCGCATGGATGGGGGCCAGTGGGGAGGACAATAGGTCCACCCCCCATTGTCTTTTAGGGCCCCCACCCACCGCTCATGGACAAATATTGGACCTCCATGTTCTTTCCGTGGATTTCTGGAGCAGGCACATCAGGCCCTAGGAAACTGCACACACTGATTAACTGCAACAGCCCTGCCTCCCCCAGTGTAGTAGAGACCCCTTTAGTGATTTTCAGAATCCATTCTGTTATAAAATTCCATATTTCTCAGAATATAAAACACACTGGAATATGTGACACAGCTATAAATTTTAACAAGAAATGTAGTTATGGACATGAAATGTGACTACCATTTTAACACAATATTCATGCTTTTACGCCCATAACTCTCAAAGTTATAAGTTCACCATTCAACAGATATTCCCTGCACAAATGCCATTTTTAAGCACTGAAAAGGTTAACAAACCAGTTGAGACTCAGGAGGCAGGTTGGTGGGTAGGGAATAGGCTGGATGTGTTACAATGGTTATTGTGGATCTGTTTTGTGGATGTTTTGACAGTTGCTTTTTGGAATTTGTTGGTGATAGCAGCTATGTAGCAGTACAGGGGCACAGGCAGCCTTACTCATTTTTTCTAAGGCTGCAAGTATGCGCTCTAGGCCCAATAAGCTGCCGTTCTGGTGACTAGTATCCCTTTAAGTAATAAATGCAAACACTATATAAATGGACAGTGTGCAGCTCTATTCACTGTATATAATAAGGCAATATACTATAAACACAAAAAATGTACAGTGTCCCTGGATATTGTGCTTTTCGGAACTGCTATCTGGAAGATGCTGGAATAGTGATCACATGCCTGGGTGTGTGTAACGAAGTGGACCTCATGTGGTAGACCAGCAGGGTTAAGTATTTTCTATTGTTCCTGTATTTCCTCATAGTATATATATATATATTTTATTTTTTAAATCTACAAAGCAAATTTAAACACTCATTTTTTTTCTCAACTATACTAGAATTCTCTTTTCCAGGCCATTTCCATGGCACTATCAAATACACAGCCTTCAGTAAAGGCTTCATAACGGAGGCTCCTGTATACGCGATTTAGTAAGAATTGATGAATTGGTTGCTCCTGTCCTGACGTCTGAGTGGGGAATTTAACAGATTAGTGATGCTGCCATGGAAATAGAATTCCTGTAAGTATGGGTAAGAAGTTCTCATTACTTGCTTAAGATAGGCTCTAAATACATTCTCTCTAAAGCTCTGTGTCTTTATGATCAGAGGATTATAAGAAAGTTATCACGCCCATCCAGTAAATTGCAGGATGCAATAGTTTCTTCCCACCCAGCACCCAATTTGACAACTGGGAGAAATCTACACCGTGATAACATTTGCCAATGAAATAAAAGGTCTCTGCCCTCAGTTTTATGAAAACAAAACAAGGAAGAAGGTTCTTTTCAATAAGTGCTTTATTTGTGATTAGATTATATAGCTTCTTAAAACAAAACATGCTCAGAATTTATAACCTGTGGCACCACCGACTGGTATTTCTGTTAACACAATAAAACTGTCCCAAACTTACAGTGACATCATGGTGGCCAATCGCTTATGGAAGTCATTAAAAGCTGGAAAGTAAAAAAAAAAAATGGAATGAAAAACAAAATAAATAAAAAAATCTCATTCTAGTCTTTAATTCTGCATAGTACATATTTAATTTCACAAAGTACGACCATGTAAGAATGATGATATCTGCTCCTGTCTCACAAGAAACAAGTGCATTAACACCCATCAGTCTAAATGCTTTACCTCCAGTTCTTACGCACCTGAAGACAAAGCTGTACAGGCACGCCTTTGTGGGAGGAGATTATACACACACTTCTTGAGCAGATTACACTATTTACAACCCACGAGTGTAAGTAGAAGAATAAAAGCCTTCATTTGAAGAAAATATTACAGACCAATGCGTGTGCACACTGTACATATTCCCTTTCTTTTTTCCAGTGTATCAATTTTTATTGCATAGTTTCAATAAGTACAAAGCAAGATATAAAAGTGTGGAAGACACAATCTACACTCTATAAAGTGTAATGTGTGCATGAACACACACTCAATATTTACAAACATTTTCACAGAAAGCAATCTGGCGGAGATTATATCGGACTTTATGCCATTAAGGCAATGCATTATCAAACCTGGACATTGTTCCAGCCGTAGTTTATGACAAATTAATTTTTTAATCCCTAGCTTGCTACAAACAATACAACACCAACACAACTTTACCTGTAGTACAGATGTCTCCAGCCTACTAAGTAAAATGATCTTCATATCTTCACAGACAATATACTGAGGCCACGAACAGACCTATAATGAAGACATATGTACAAAATTAATTTGTTGCAATAAAGAGAATGAACTTAAAGTGACTGTATAAAAACTGACCCAGTATTTAAAGTATTACATAGATAAATAAAACCTTCTCATTGTGGGTGTGCCTGCAGTTGCAATCAGGAGCATCTCAAGCTGGTCTGCAGGGATGAATCTTATCCCATAAACGTGCCCCCATCACAGGGTTAAAGAATAAGCACACTTTAAGTTCCAATAATCACATGGGATCACAAGAGACTCCCTACTGTGCTTCAATCAGTTTGCCGTTTACGGAATCAGATTGTGTTTCGATAACTGACAGAGTCACGGACCCTTGCAGTGTAGTCCGCAACTCCACTCTTCACACAGGAGAGAGCTTTCCCTACTCTGTGCATCAGGGCTATCAATTTCAAATTCTAAAGGTACTAGCCACGGCTAAAAATTACTTGCCACAAAAACATTTTTTTTTTTTTTTTTTTTAAAGACCACTATAGTGTCAGGAAAACCATACTCGTTTTCCTGGCACTATAGGGTCTCTAGGTCCCCCCTCCCTCTCCGGGCTATAGGGGGTGGAAGGGGTTAAATCTTACCTGTTTTCCCCCACCGGGCTCCATCTCCTCCTCCTTTTCGCAGTCATCGGCTGAATGCACATGCGCGCGTCAATCACAGTGAGAAGCGCCTCTAACGGCTGTCAATGAGACAGCCACTAGAGGCTGAATTAACCCATAGGTAAACATAGCAGTTTCTCTGAAACTGCTATGTTTACAGCAGAAAGTGTTAATCCTAGATGGACCTGGCACCCAGACCACTTCAATTAGCTGAAGTGGTCTGGGTGCCTATAGTGGTCCTTTAATTCATGGTGCATCCACACCGAGCTACTTTGCCCAATAAATGCTAGTACCCACCATAATTACAGACACATTCTTAAACACACACTTGCAGTTCAATAACTGTAAAACAGGTAGATGCCAAAGAAAATAACTACTGAGTCCTGAAGAACATAAAATAGGTTGTTCTCTTCTAAGTGTTAAAACCTAGCAAAACTGTAAGAACACAGACACAGGCACATAAAATAAAAAATGTGCACAATTGAGGATGCCATTCTTTTTTTCCTCTACCTCCAGTTCTTACGTGCAAGCACATAGAAAGCGCTAGCACGCCTTTGTAGGAGGCACCACTCAGTAATTGCTTATTACAGGGTCAGTTTAAGAGCTAAATCCACTTCTTTATAAAGCAGTTTTGATATATAAACTATGCCCCTGCAGTCTCAAAATGTGCTCATTTGGAACCTTATGCTCACAAAGTACAAAGAGTGTGTTTATTTTAGAAGATCATCTTAATCTGCTTTATTTCATGGACACTGAGCACCAAGTCACTTCCTCTTAATGAAATGGTTTTGTTGCCAAGACCAGGTCCCTTTTGAGTGGCAGTCTAAATTAAAAACCCCAAACACATCTGTAGTGGTTTTCAGATTGACAGCAACTGTGAGGAGCTTTGGATTGGACCAAGATCGTCCATCAGGGTGATCTCAGACAAGGATATGAATAAAAGGTGCGTAAAAACGGTTTACAAGATTTGGAGAGTTGTTTCTCTCTTAGGTTTTGGATTTTTTTTTTCCTTTACACTATTGCTTGTTTGCCATCAAAAGGATTAAAATACAGCAGTGATTTACCCAAGCAAATAAGTTTACCTTTCCATTAAGCAGAAAATGAATGACTCTTTCCAAACTTCATTGCAGTAAGTTCTCACTGATTATCTCCACAGACATTGGTCATGCTTTCTGAAGATGAAAAAGTAGAAGGATGGGAGGGGGGAAATAAAAATAAGTTGTTATACTCTGGATGCTTACTTTTTAACCAACCATACATTTCATTTTAACCCCTTAAACACATTAGAAGTCTAATTCACAATTAAGATTTTAAAATAACTAGAGTACAATATATTTCAGATTTATATACCAGAACTGCTTCATTGAGTTAAAATTGTTTTAATGCATTTAGTGTCCTTTGAACTGTTTAACCCCAAGTTGCCGCCAGCACCGGTTTCAGCTCACCTTCGGTGGCATACGGCTTCTAAAATTTACTTCTGAAGATTGGGGAGTCACGGATTGGCTGAGAGCAGAAGCTGACTGCTTCCAGGCAATTAGCAGCGCCCATGCCCAACGGCACTCCGCCATTCCTGTAAGTGAAATCTCAGAAGCCGGGTGCTGCCCGGAGAAGCAGAGACCGACGATGGAAAATTTGGTGTTTAACCATTCGAGAACGGTTTAACCCATGAAGGTAAGAGTGCGTCTGGGGGCAGCACCATAACAACTTAATCTAGATCAAGTTCTTCTGGTGCCTGGAGTGTTCATTTTTATCATGGAAGAAGTTTGGCCAAAAATACATTTATAAAGAAAAACTAAGGCTGGCAAACTCACCATGTCTACCAGGACAACTGCCCACCCCTTATTTCATATTGATAGGCAGCACGTAGAAATGATATGCTGCAGGACTAATCAATCTTGAATTCTGACTGTCAGTACTACAAGGCAGAGCTTTCGGTTATATCCAGTGTCCGGAAACACATTGTGGATGTGTCAGTATCTGAAAGAAATTGTGATGGAGTCTTTACACAACATTCATTATTATATGGTTGTATTCTCACACACAGCCAATAATAAAAGGATGGCCATTCGTTATTAAATGATAGTGTACTCACACACACACACAGCAGATAATAGAAGGATGTCCATTCATTATTAAATGATAGTGTACTCACACACACAGCAGATAATAGAAGGAGGCCATTCATTATTAAATGATAGTGTGCTCACACACACAGCAGATAATAGAAGGATGGCCATTCATTATTAAATGATAGTGTGCTCACACACAGCAGATAATAGAAGGATGGCCATTCATTATTAAATGATAGTGTGCAGATAATAGAAGGATGGCCATTCATTATTAAATGATAGTGTGCTCACACACACAGCAGATAATAGAAGGATGGCCATTCATTATTAAATGATAGTGTGCTCACACACAGCAGATAATAGAAGGATGGCCATTCATTATTAAATGATAGTGTGCTCACACACACAGCAGATAATAGAAGGATGGCCATTCATTATTAAATGATAGTGTGCTCACACACAGCAGATAATAGAAGGATGGCCATTCATTATTAAATGATAGTGTACTCACACACACAGCAGATAATAGAAGGATGGCCATTCATTATTAAATGATAGTGTGCTCACACACAGCAGATAATAGAAGGATGGCCATTCATTATTAAATGATAGTGTGCTCACACACACAGCAGATAATAGAAGGATGGCCATTCATTATTAAATGATAGTGTACTCACACACAGCCAGCACAGGGCAGATGAGATCACATTGTCCTGCTGTAGTATTCTCCATATTTTGCTGTCTGCACATGGCATACTAACTGCACCAGGCAGGGCATTCCTGGAATATAAAACATGATTAATATCACACTCAGATCCTCACCCGCCATGCTGGCTGCCTCCTCGCACAGACTGAGAGCCTCCAGCGCGCTCCATACTGGCGGATGGATGTGGATACACTTTCACACTCCATGATCCTCTCTGATTACACTCCAACACTGAGCAAGCAACCAACTTCCGGTTATTAGTATGTCATTTCCGCCCATCCCCGCTGAGCTTTTTCTTTTCGAACGCTGATAGGCGGTGACGAATCACGCGATCAATGGCATTCCTAGTGAGACAATAACTGCAATGGATCATGTGACTGCCTTAGTCACGTGACGCCCAACAGTTCCTTTTCCTTCCTATAGCTTGATATTTATTTATAAGGCAGCCATGGGCCTGTCTGTTTACATAGCAGTGGAATGTTTTAGGCTATAGTAATGTTAACATACAACTACCAAATACCATTAACAAAATAAAATAAATCAAAGGGCAGGGGAATGCTGACTGGCTATGAGAGGAGAGCTGAAATTTTAGCTCTATATTCATAAAAACAACTTGGGAAAAACACATACATCCCTCAAACAGTTTTGTGAATGGGGAGTCATTGATTGGCTGACAAAGTGGATTTTGATAGACCAAGTGTCAGTGAATGGAAAATAATGCAGAATTTAGCCTGGGGCTATAACTGCTGCAGAATTATTCCAAATTGGAAATCACGTTCCTTCAGTGGTGACAGTGAATACAGAGAGATGTAAGCTTGACTGACTAGGTTATAAAAGTACAAATCTTCAGTTGAATTCCCAAAGTGACAGGACATTCGGGAATACTGACAGGAGGCATCGCGAGATCACGGATCAATGGTAAGAATTGTGGGGAAATTGCTTTGATCGCCGGAAACAAAGCACACTGTGCTCCTCTGCTGGTCAAGCGTAGGAAACCTGCATAAGACAAAGTAGTCCCAACTTTGTCTTGTGTGTTAAAGAAAACTAGAGCAGACAGGAAGAAATGAACAGATGCTGACAGAGGGAGAGAAGAGGAATCGATTAAAGAAAGGTAAGTTCTGCATGACAGTGCCATTTTAAAGGACCACTATAGTGCCAGGAAAACACTCTTGTTTTCCTGGCACTATATTGCCCTGAGGGTGCCCCCACCCTCAGGGACCCCCTGCCGCCCGGCTCTGGAAGGGGGAAAGGGGTAAAAACGTACCTTTTTCCAGCGCTGGGCGGGGAGCTCTCCTCCTCCGATCCTCCCAGTCGGCTGAATGCGCGCGCATTCAGCCGGTTGCATAGGAAAGCATTCACAATGCTTTCCTATGGACGCTGGCGTGCTCTCACTGTGAAAATCAGTGAGAAGCACGCAAGCGCCTCTAGCGGCTGTCAATGAGACAGCCGCTAGAGGCTTTGGGGGAAGGCTTAACCCATTCATAAACATAGTTTCTCTGAAACTATGTTTATAAAAGAATGGGTTAATCCTAGCTGGACCTGGCACCCAGACCACTTCATTAAGCTGAAGTGGTCTGGGTGCCTAGAGTGGTCCTTTAAGGTGCAATAAAATTGGTTTTCAGGTGCTGAATGTCTCCTAACCAAACCAGTCCTGATGGATATACTAGCCCAACTGAACATTCCATGGATGGCCCTCAGTACCTATATTGAAGGCCCCTCTGGAAAATAACAGGTGAGGCCTGAGATGTTATCTTCCCTGAGATGTTCTCTTTCCTAAATATCATCCAACTGTAAACATGAGACTGGTAAAAGGGATTTTCTTCTTAAATAACTAAGGTAAGCAGAAGATTTCTTAATTGGAGCATTATTTCAGAGATTCACCCAGTTACTGCCCTGAAGAGTCCGTCAAGATCAAATGAAGTTGGGACATGTCATTCTGTGGACAATATAGACACCTACAGGTAACTGGTACAAGTCCTGTATTTTGCCTACCCAAGGGTGAATGGACACAAAGTCATGATTTGATTGACTGGGATTATCTCCATTGTGTGGCTATATATGTGTTGCATAGAAAGCAGTTTAAGAAGACATAACATCAAGATAACAAGGATACCACCATTCTTCCTATGCACACATACAGCTAACAATCGTGTAGACAGATTGAATAGACTAGTATTGTTGTTGAGATTTATATAACGCCAACTTATTCTGCAGCACTTTACAATATTATAACAGAGGGAATAAATGAAACAATTGGAAAATGCTACAGGAACAATAGGTTGATAAAGACCCTGCTCGAACAAGTTTACAATCTAAATGTCAGATTCCCTTACCACTCACGTGCATGCATTCTATTGTAAAATATATTTTAAATCACTGGTGTACACGTAGATTATAGAGTAGAAAAATAGTCACAAATCCCAGAATTCAAGGCAGCCTTCTTAAAGATTTTTTACAGACTATAATAAAAGAAGAGACAATAAAACCAGTTATCTTTGTATACAAGCCATTTATTTTGAAATGCCAACTATATATGCAGGATAAAGTCAATGTTACATGCTTGTCAGTAACAGTAGAAAAATAGAACCAGTTAAAACTTTTGTACAACTGCAATGGTACTCAAAAGAGAAAGGGGTTATACAATGTATCACACAAGACACAAATTCAAGTTTGCAAGTACCTAAATAAAAATACTATTCTTTAAAAACACTATGTACAATTGAATCATAAACAAATCTTACAAAGTTCTGGTTTATGCAGGTTGTAGAAAACACTTGCATAGGACATGAAATCAGTTCTTAAAGTGTTTTTTTTCTGAGCCTTAAGCATAGAAGGCACTTGGCTTATACCAGGAAATTTAAAACAGACTACCTAGAGACGTTCATCAAACAAACCCACCCAACAGGTAAGTAGAGCGTTATTCAGCTTTCAGTACAGTTCACAGGATTTATGGTCTTGCCCCCAATATTAGTATTAGTTTACACGTTTAGAACACTTCAACTGCTGTGGAGTGGGGGCATCTTGCAATTCCCCTGGAAGTTAAAGAGAAAAGGATTATCCGCTTCTTCAATCATGTTACTTAACATGTTGCACACAAATTCAGTATAGGCAATGGATGCAGTTATATAGATAAATTCTGTTTTTGTTTTTTTCTTTCTTTCTTTATGGAAGAGACACAGAATGCGGATTTATTTCTATATAACATGAATGAATCCTTAGCTAAAAAGGTTACATGGTTTAGCCAAACAGCAAATTAAGAGAAAGTGATAATGATGCAAGGCTTGAAAAAAAACGTAGCACCCACAATCGACTTGAATGAGCCAGTCTCGGAAAACCATTTGTACAGGAAGTCCTCCTCAGCTTGCTCATCTCATTCATCTACATAGACACTTAGGAATGTTACAGATCGAAGAACTTAGAGATTTCACAGCAGCTTTATAGTCTACATTATTAGAACTATGCCTAGTTATATGTAAGATCTGGCAAAAGTGCAGTTAATGCACCAATTTTTATAGTCTATGATGAACAACTTAAAGAGCCATGGAGCAGTTTTCTCAGCTAGCATTTATTTTTTTACATTGTTATACGGAGATCTTTTGGAAGATTCTTTTTACAATTTCCCCCCAATGTCCACATTGCTCATACTGCCCCTGTATTTAGTGAAGCTTTTCAATTATATATTTTATCAAACAGCTGACCTGCTTTATCAGAGATTAACACCACGAAAAAGATTCATTTTTTTTTTTAAAGTAGTGTTTATCCATGTGTTTTATACTTCCATAGGACACGCATGAAACCTAGAGACCGCTAAATGTGTCCTTTTTGTTAAAATCCCTCTTTCTAGTCAATGCTTGGGATTAATTTAGAGAGCATGTTTTGCTTGTTTTTAATAAATCTGCTTGTACTGACTTGTCACAGCTTATACTTTGTTTGGCCTTTATTACGGCATTAGTTGTTTCACACAGAAGTGTTTATTAAAAATTTGGGAATATTGTTCTACTAAAACTAGGGTCGGTTCAAAATCTACTATATAATGCATAGCTGGTACTTTCTATAGCAAATGTCAGGATAACACTCACTGCTGTAAAATTTATTTTATAAAGTCACTGTTCAAGGATCTGTTCCAGTGCTAGGAGTATATAACACAATAGATTATTACTGCTTCTCAGACACATACACGTGTTTTACAGTTGTATTCACAAAATTGGGAATTGTGGAGAATTGCCAACATAACTGCAAATTTAGGTACACTGGTTAAAAAGAAAAATGTTATTTTTATTCACCCAAAAAAAAAAAAAAGTGCAATTCTTCACAACTCCTTTCCACAATTGTTATAGTAAATTCCAAGCTTGGTAATGTTCTGAGGATAGGAGTTGGATAAAGGTTGGAGACTGGAGACAGAGAGAGACAGATCAATAGAACCAATATATATGCTTTGAAACCCTAGTGGAATGATTAGCAGTCTCAAATACCTTAGCCACTAGCCTCTTACTTACATCTTGCAGCCACATAGCAACAAAGTTCCCCATACACCCGCTGGAACAAACCCCATTTTAGATTAGGTTCTGTACTACTAGGATATGCTGACAGCAACAGGTTTAGTAGATTAAATACACTGAAAGGAATAACAAAAGGATTACACATGCAAGCACTGCATCCACAAAAAGCTGGTAGGTCAACCACAAGCATTAAGTTTGCTTAATTGACGTACTGCATCCACAACTGCTTCCATCACGAGCTAGTTTTCTTCTTAAGCGGACTCTAGGTATCCTGAATCAAGCCGATTTGGATGTATGGGAAGCGGATAAGAAAAAATAAAGCATGAAATCCATATTTTTACAGAAACATGCATAATGCATCCATATAGGACCTAAGCTGAAGTAGAACTGGCTGAGGTGTTGCGTGGTTATTTGCATAACAATGCAGTAAACACTGCACAGTGCCTCAAAGCACATGAATTTTTGCACCATGCTGTATAGGCAAGAACATCAGTAACCAGAAAAAAACAAAAGGATGATAGCAAAGCTAAAAAGTTATTTCATTAAAAAATGATCATTGCTAGAAATAAAATAAAAAAAAACACATTTAGTATCATTGTGTAACCTGAAGGAAATCAGAAAATAGAAAAGTGACCGGGAAATTCAAGTTTTCTAGACAAAGCAAGGCAAAAAACATACAGCAATTTAACAAACATGGGAGAGACTAGGAAAGAAATTAACTTTATACCAACTGTGTGGAAGTGTGTGCTAGGCAAGGTCATTTTACTAACACAAACAGGCACACATATGAAGGCAAACACGAATCATGCATACTCCACGTACATGCAAAAAGTAATCAAGGAAGGATTCATTTCAATAGCAAGGTGTACCATTTAAAATCTCAGATGCTATATATTATATTGATACAGTGAACTGTGTACTAGGCAATAAGTAGAAACCACTAATCCTTATATGTCCAACAGAAGAGTTTTGATTGGAATTGCATCAAGTGACAAAAGGATACGTACTGCAGATAACGTACCATTAGTTGCAGAGAACTACAAAATCTGGATCACAAACTAAACTTTGTACCTCATCTGATTAGGTAACTTCTTACGTGGCTTCTTTAAGGCAGGGCAGGGAATCTTCCCCCTCTCCCCCCCCCCCAAAAAAAAAGAAAAGTACACCATAAATATGTCTGGACTAGATGGGTTAGAAAATGTCAGTCACATGCGAGAGAGGTGAATATTTGGAACAATAATTTGTTTTCTTTGTCATATGAAGAAACCGAACCACTAATTGTAAACTACATTTATTGTATACAGAGTGGATTTTTCTCTGATTGGACTGAACCATAAAATCGCAGCAACTATTAAAAACGCAAGTAAGGTGAGGAAAATTTGGGTCCGACTCCTGTGTGTTCTACACTTTTTAAAGGAATCAAATGTATTAAACATTTAACAGTTTTCCCTTCAAAGGCTGCTTAAGATTTATCACTACACATCTATAAAATTATTGTGTCTTGGGATATTTCTGGACATTTCCCGTAATTATAAAAAAAAAAAAAAAACAAAAAAAAAACTGTTGACAAAGTGCTCATCTCCAAATGAGAAATCTGCTTTTCTGGTACTTCTGGAATTGAACCAGTATTTGGATACAGTTACTCTAGTTCTGCTTATGTAACTTTTTTTTAGCCATGTCAGTGTGTCATTCTGAAGGTTGCTTATGCTTGCTCAAAGCCTACTTGAGTAACTTGAGGCGCAACTCTACCCCTACATTAACAAATTTTATTCTTTTTATGTCACGCCAAGTCACTGAACGAATAGTCTGTTGCCTAAATAGTAAGATGTTTCAGTTTTAAACTATTCTGTCATCATTCCTAGTGCTATAAACAGACATTGCCCAAGATCTACTTTTGAAATGTACGGAAATTTGTTGCATTACACAAAATGTTAATACATGTACCAAAACAGTTTGATGAACTTAATGATTACAGCCAGGCTTTATATTAAATAAAGAATTGCATGGCCAGCAAATTCTGGAGGAAACACATAGGTTTAAAAATTATATACAGTACAAGGAAAAAAGCAGAATTATTTATTTTACTTATCTGCTATATTTTCCAACTATTGACATAAGAGCAGACCATTAACAATATTAAATCTTGGTAGAGACTTTAGCACTGTGTTAGATACAGTGTAAAAATGCAACAAAATAATCATGGACTGTTTAAGTTATTCTAACATTATTTCTTAAATATAACATTTCCATCAATTTACATCTCTGAATGTGACTGACCAAAGTAAATATATTAATATAATCTTTACTGCAATAACCCTGGGCGTGCACATTATAGATGCAAAAGATAGGTAACAGCTAACAATAATCATGCAAACATTATGCTGCAACCAAATTTATTTCTATTCTCGTAAATACAAAATGTATTCACTGTCTAGTGGAGGAGTAGGCAACCTTTTAGCAGCAATGTGCCGATATAGGATTGTGATGTCCCATAGCGTGCCGGTCCTTTTTTTTTTTTTTTTAAATTGGTGTGTATGCCATATTCTGCTTGTGTTATTTATACTGTAATTGCTTTGTATCATTGTATTTGTGCGTATATAAGCTATTATATTGTAGATGTTCAGGAGTAGTTTGTGGTATCATGTATGATACATATGAATGTGCGCTGCGTATGGGGCTGCTTGTGGAATTGTGTGTGTAGATGGATATGTCACATTGTGTGTTTGGTAGTGTGTGTATGTGTGGGGGCTGTTTGGGGTATTGCATGTGAGAGGCTGCATATGGGGTTGTGTGCATGTATGTGGGTTGTTAGCGGGTTACGTTTGTGCGGATTGTATGTATGTTTGTGGGCTGTTAGTATTATTTGTATGAGGGGAGGGTTATTGTGCAGTTCTATGTAAATTTAGCAGTGTGGCTTCCCTGGGTTCCAGTGGGGACCAAGCTGGCCATGTACAGGTCAAGGACTGGAGCAGCAACAGCAGCTGCAGGCTGTGCTACTACAGTGTGAATTCCCATTCACAGGTGCTGGGAGGAAGTGATCTGCAATGCATAAATTGAGGATTATCCTTCACCAGATATCTGCTAATATGAAAAGGTGAAGTTTCACTGGGACTCCTGATGGACAGAGCCTGTTTGGCTGTGGCATGCCTTGAGTGCCGTGCATGGCACTAGTGCCGTAGGTTGCCTACCCCTGGTCTAGTGTATAAACCCCAAGGGAAATTGTTAAATTGTATGCAATTTTTAATAAATTAGCAATTGCTATTTGCAAAACTTCTGCCAACAAAACAATTTCAATTTTTACATTTCTACTTTGTGGAAAGCAGGATAATATAGAACTACTTATTAACCCCATAAAAGAATCAGGGGATTAGGCAGATCCTTTTATATCACAACATGCCTGGCATGTCATTGGTCCCTAAAAAGTTTAAGTCATCACTTTCCATTTACAACCAGCCTTTTGGTGAAGAATTAGATTAAAACAAAGCAGTGCTTTAGATGGACTGTTTTGTATCACTTCAGATAGGTACTGCTGTCCATTTTCATGAACAAGCAGGGAGACATTTTGTAAACACATCACGTCTGACACACATTATCAAAACACATCTAAATACAATACACTTTCCACAGCACAAGATTGTCAAATGACCTGATTGTCATGATGGATTTTTGTTTGCTCTGGCAACATCTTTTTAATTTAAGGGGTATTGAATTTTTTTTTTTTTTAAATAAAAACAATTCTTGTTTTTGTTTGTACTAAGGGGATCTGCACAAAACATCAAAGCAAACTAACTTTCAAAAACTTTACCACACCACTGCTAATATACACTTACTTATACAGGCAGATATAAAACGTAACTTAGAACCTTCCACATATATTTCAAGTCAAAGGGAAAGGGTGGGGAATCAATGTTATATCACATTAAAACAGACACCAAACTTATCTACAACAGCCCTAATCAGCAGTAATCATAGTCATGGAGTCTCTGCTATGGCCTGAAGCTATAAAGTAATCATCCTCTTCAAACCTACAATCCCAAATACATTCTTTGTTAGTGACTGGGACAAAAGACAGACTGAAGACTTTGAGATTCTCCCAATATGAGGTTTACAAATACTTTGACTTTCTGAAGACTCTTCCATTTAACGAGTAAAGGCGATTGGGCTCTGTTAGCACCTTTGATAGAGATTAAAAAATAAACCATGTACGTTTACAGACAGATGCATTGTAAACTGGGTTAGCATTGAAAATAAAACTTCAAGCTAAACAAATGCGTGGAGTAAAAACCTAATAACCCTCTCCAAATTTTAAGGAGTAAGATTTAAAGGAAGCCACAACGATGGACGACGTAAAACACCACTGATGCATACAGTTTAGTTAAACTGAAGGCAAAGTGTATGTATAAAAGAAATGTATGTCTGCTGTCGACATGGGTAATGCATGGTGCCATAAGTTAATGTTCCAATGTTGCAACTTTTCCATGAAAATTAGATTATTTCTTAAGTTGCAGAAATGAGGCCACATTTATTTCAAATTAGGGGTTTGCAGTTCATTCACCTATGAGAGGACATGGACTTTAATAATATTGGGAAGTTTGTTTAGGATAGTTTCCCAAAATACGACAAGGATCATAGCCAATACAAGCATTATTATTTCCCGTCTGCCTTCAAACTATCGTTTCATTACGTTAATCTGTCATTATTTCTTCCGCTTTAAAACGTTAATGAAATGCAAGCATTTAAAAATAAATTAAAATAATTATTCCAATGTGTCTACTGTTCTGACACGTTGTGGAAATTTAAATCTTGGAGATAGATGCATTTAAAGCCCTGCAACTACTGGATTAAATCGGCTTTAAGAGTTAATTAGAAATCCAGATCCATCATATTGTTTAATAGTCCAGTCAGGAACCTAAAAGCAAAAATGATGGCCAATATACTAAAAAGGCTACAAAAGAATAATTTCATCCCAATGGAATACAAGAATCTATAAATTAATATGGCAGAGGTTTGTATAGAGATCAATTTATATTGTTGAATGGGAAAACCTTTCAGATTTCATTCATTAGTCTGGTCGAATCAGGTCTACTGAGATCACACATACAGGGAGTGCAGAATTATTAGGCAAATGAGTATTTTGACCACATCATCCTCTTTATGCATGTTGTCTTACTCCAAGCTGTATAGGCTCGAAAGCCTACTACCAATTAAGCATATTAGGTGATGTGCATCTCTGTAATGAGAAGGGGTGTGGTCTAATGACATCAACACCCTATATCAGGTGTGCATAATTATTAGGCAACTTCCTTTCCTTTGGCAAAATGGGTCAAAAGAAGGACTTGACAGGCTCAGAAAAGTCAAAAATAGTGAGATATCTTGCAGAGGGATGCAGCACTCTTAAAATTGCAAAGCTTCTGAAGCGTGATCATCGAACAATCAAGCGTTTCATTCAAAATAGTCAACAGGGTCGCAAGAAGCGTGTGGAAAAACCAAGGCGCAAAATAACTGCCCATGAACTGAGAAAAGTCAAGCGTGCAGCTGCCACGATGCCACTTGCCACCAGTTTGGCCATATTTCAGAGCTGCAACATCACTGGAGTGCCCAAAAGCACAAGGTGTGCAATACTCAGAGACATGGCCAAGGTAAGAAAGGCTGAAAGACGACCACCACTGAACAAGACACACAAGCTGAAACGTCAAGACTGGGCCAAGAAATATCTCAAGACTGATTTTTCTAAGGTTTTATGGACTGATGAAATGAGAGTGAGTCTTGATGGGCCAGATGGATGGGCCCGTGGCTGGATTGGTAAAGGGCAGAGAGCTCCAGTCCGACTCAGACGCCAGCAAGGTGGAGGTGGAGTACTGGTTTGGGCTGGTATCATCAAAGATGAGCTTGTGGGGCCTTTTCGGGTTGAGGATGGAGTCAAGCTCAACTCCCAGTCCTACTGCCAGTACCTGGAAGAAACCTTCTTCAAGCAGTGGTACAGGAAGAAGTCTGCATCCTTCAAGAAAAACATGATTTTCATGCAGGACAATGCTCCATCACACGCGTCCAAGTACTCCACAGCGTGGCTGGCAAGAAAGGGTATAAAAGAAGAAAATCTAATGACATGGCCTCCTTGTTCACCTGATCTGAACCCCATTGAGAACCTGTGGTCCATCATCAAATGTGAGATTTACAAGGAGGGAAAACAGTACACCTCTCTGAACAGTGTCTGGGAGGCTGTGGTTGCTGCTGCACGCAATGTTGATGGTGAACAGATCAAAACACTGACAGAATCCATGGATGGCAGGCTTTTGAGTGTCCTTGCAAAGAAAGGTGGCTATATTGGTCACTGATTTGTTTTTGTTTTGTTTTTGAATGTCAGAAATGTATATTTGTGAATGTTGAGATGTTATATTGGTTTCACTGGTAATAATAAATAATTGAAATGGGTATATATTTGTTTTTTGTTAAGTTGCCTAATAATTATGCACAGTAATAGTCACCTGCACACACAGATATCCCCCTAACATAGCTCAAACTAAAAACAAACTAAAAACTACTTCCAAAAATATTCAGCTTTGGTTGTTGTTCAATAATAAAATTAATCCTCAAAAATACAACTTGCCTAATAATTCTGCACTCCCTGTACTCTACAAACTACAAAAGGTGCTGTACTTTATTTTTCTTTCTAGAAATAAGGAGATGGTGCAAAGAAAAATAAAACTTGCTTCTGTCATGATACTTTGAGCATGTCGCACAATAGGACCCAGAGTGCACCTTTGCACATTTACTTTGAATTCTTGACAACTCTCACTTTAGTGAAAAACCCAGATAGTGTTTAACTAACAATTTGGCTCCTTTGAGGTGAGACTTGCAAAATTGACTTTACAGGCACTCAATGAGTTCAATTTGTAAAACGGAGCTTAGCTATGTGGTTCAGGATAAGCCTTGAAATGTAATAAAACTGATGTATAAGCGAATTTAGGGGTTACGCTGTTATATTATACAGTATTAAAACACTTACATACACATACTAGATATACCAACTAAAACAGATACTAATTGCTGGAGACTGCATTAAATGCACAAAATAACGCAAGCAATATTTAAAAGAAAGGCAATTCTGACAGGTATGTTTTACTCATAAAATCTTTATGAAATACTCGTGTAGGAATCTCCTCTACTTGACAATCCTGGGCATAAAATGGCAGAGCTACTGCAGTCAAGTTTTGTCAATTCCCCAAGCCATCACTAATGATAGCTGTGAAGCAAAAGGCATTGTGTATGGAGGCTTCTGAGGTCTTGCAGTATTCTTTTACATACAGCACTGACGTTGGCTCCTTGCAGATGAAGCGGATCCCCCAGCTGAAGGTGCCACAAGGGACAGCTTCAGGCAAGTAAACCTTACCTTCCTTAGCAGCCCCAGGCAAAATATGCAAGCAGAAGGTGACAAGGCCGCTATAATAAGGGAAATATCCTGTGTTTTTTTTTTTTTGTTTTTTTTTTTACAGTATTCAGGAACACAGCCTGCACAATGATGCAGTAATAAAGGACGCTGGCATACCAGATATTCCTGATTTCCATTTCCCATAAAGCTTTACCATATTTAAGGTTGGCTGAGCATCATGGGAAAAGAACCCAGAAACATTAAGGTCATCATCACCCTAATATATTTGCTGCTAAAAGTGGAAATGCCCTTCGGACCCAACAATCTGTTTTGCACTTTAGTTTGTTGCAATTAACTGCACCAATATAGCTCTTAATGTACCCGCCCTATTGCTCTGCTACAAAAAGCCGTAATCAAAGTGCAATCTCTCTCAATGTGTGCTATACACGGAGCCAAAGATACGGTCTGCAAAAGATCACGTGCTCACCTTAAACTAAATCCATGCTGTGTTTACCTTACAGTAAAGTGGGTCTTACAGACCCTAAGCTACATTTATTGGTATGTGCACAGGGTGGGTGGGGGGGATTAAAATAAATAATACAAATTAATCTTTTGTCGGTAAACACTAGTTTGTTTAAACCTATACTTAAAGGTTCTTAAAAAGGAGCAGTCACTTCTCTGGAATTTATACCACTGAAAATCATCTAACTTGTGTTAACCTTTTTCATAAAATGGTCTATATTCTTTTAAACTTTATATAAAAAATATAGCCAATTAGATCATAAACCAATTCAGACAAGTCAAAGCTAACAATGCAAAGGAAGAGGAGAAATAGAAACATTGCTTTGTTTCTTCTCTGTATGCTTTCTCTATCCTACCAAGTGCAAATGACAGTCTATAATTATAATTGACAGGGTGCTAAAATGGAAGCACCCAGTCCAGGATAAGGAGATATGAATTTCTATATGTAATCTTATATTTCACACCTCACAAATACATATTTGTTAAATATAAGGATAATTAAATAGACCATTCATTAGCAATACCTGTCAAAGGACTTATTTACAATACTAATCGAAAAACACTGAGTATGTAAAGTTTATCTATTTAGATCAGTATTTGTCATCAATATTGTAGATAAGTGTGTCAATTCATATTTCTAATTAAAGTTTGTGAGAGAACTTGAGGATAGCAGCACATTTCTCATAAGGTTTGTTTCCTAGAACTACCAACTTTTATAATTTCTTAAAGAGAAAGCACCACAGACTGAATTATACATGTCAAAGTAAATAGAGGGTAGGCAACCTTTGGCACTCCAGATGTTGTGGACTACATCCCCCATAATACTCTGACACCAATAATGCCGGCAAAGCATCATGGGAGGTGTAGTCCAAAACATCTGGGGTGCCGAAAGTTGCCTATGCCTGAAATAGACCATTTAAAAAAAAAAAAAAAAAAACAGGGAAGTGAAAGTTCCTATATAACTTTTTTTCAGAGACCAACTATCCCTTTGGAAATTTACATCGGTGACCAACTCTTTAAGCATGATATAACCATTATACATTTGCCAAAATGTCAGACTATTCTGTGCATCAAACGGTTCCCGTCAGCACTAGGCAAAGCATTACTACTAAAAGTTTTTCAAACAGTTGTCTGGGGCCAGAGGAAGATAATGGCAGTGTTAATATCACTTAACCTAATCAAATTACATAGGGGCCTACATTTGGATATCAATCCATGTGTCAAAAGTTCCTAGTTTGTTGCAAAATTGGAAGTGCCTCAAACTGGGTTTTTTTTTGTCATCTTTTGGATCAACCGCAAAAAAACTATTGTGAGGAAGGCTTAACTCGATGGACCCAAGTCTCTTTTCAGCTATGTAACTATGTAAGAGCAACTGATCAATCCAGTAATCACTCAGAACTGTCAAGAATATGTAAGGGATATTATAAATATTTAATGGATATTATATAGATTTATGTATATATTACCATATTGGCACAGGAAACCATAATTAATTAATTTCACCATTTTTATAGCAGTCTTGTGTATAAAAAAAAAACAAAAAAACCACAAGATATGGACATATTTTGGGAATTAAAGGGACACTTAAAGGTGGCTCTTTAGAGACAAAGATACTCTACAGAAAATGTCCCTTGGCTTCTATTAACTTATGTAAAGAGCTTTATGTTTTTCATGCATTAAGTCTAATAATAAACAATATTAAAAATATTTTTTGCTTGATTTTCAGATTCTTCGCCCCTTACAGCTGCACTATCATCACTTGGGGACTTAGCAGGATTTGCAAAGACCCCCAATGGTGACATCGTTGCTGGAGGTCTGTTGAACGGCAAAGGGGAGTTCTACTTAAGCCATCTTCTCCCAGTGGGTCTTCTTCAGGAGTAGACGTCACTGCATAACTCACATGCGCTAGAGAACAGCATGGAGGATCCTCCATAGATGAATCAAATTCCATGCAGCCATCACTGGACGGCAGTAGCTATGCCCAGTGTCCAGTATTTTATTATTTATACAGCGCCAGCAAATTCCGTAGCGCTGTACAATGGGTAGTGTCAGGTTTATGAAAAATACAGAGACAAAGTAGCCCCTACTTTGTCTCTGTATATATCTTCACAAGGTTGGAATTTCATTGTGAAATTCCAAAACAGTCAAAATGAGTATTTCATGAAAATTCTATCCTTATGAAATAGTCCTTTTCGAGGTGAAGAAGGGGAGTTGGGGCGGGGAGTTTGACAGTGCCACTTCAAATGAATATGGTGTCCTCTAAAATATGGTTTGCTCTGAAATCACATTTTTTATTATAAATTAAAAAAAAAAACCTGCTATAGAGGAAAAACATTTGACAAATTATTTGCACACTTGAATCACTAGCACCAACAATATTCAGATTTTTTGTTGTTGATCACAACTTGGTAATAGGTGCAATTCATAATCTACCAATATAATGCAGTGGCCCACAAGATGCTGTTACCATGGTGATGTAAACATCTCTGAAGGCCACTACAGGAAAATAGTATGATTAAGTATTCCTTCTCTTTCTCAATTACTCCATCATAATAAGAAACAATTTAACCCGTTTCACCTACCACAATCTAAATCTGACCACTTGAGAGGAACCAGAGATCATGTGCCAGAGATACAAGCAAATCACATCATACCACTGGTGCTACCAAAATACACTCTGTGTATTATAGGAGAGAGGAAATATTTTGCATGCAGCACAGGTAATGAGATCTGCAAACAAAATCCTACCCAACACCCAGAGCAGTGGTAGCTAACCGTTGGTACTACAGCTGGTGAGTATTTCATTTTCCATGCTGTCATTTTCCATGCTGCATATGGATTACTTTACCAAATGACGAACATTATCTCGGAAAATTTAGTCCACAACAAGTGTTGTGTCAAAGGTTTGCAATCAATATTACAGAGCTACAGGTGGTTTTCAAGAAAAGGAAAAGATATAGAAAAACTTGCATGGACACAAAGTTACCAGAATAACATGTAAACTGCATGTGCCAGGGACTTGAGCAATGGTGCTGCACACCCTCTCAGCACTAAAAGCATTATGTAACGACAGTAACTCGCCTATGTGCTAGTCTTTGGATTTGTCAAATAAAAAATAGACACTTTGTATCTTAATAGAAAATACAGTTTTCATTACGTTTACCCTCCCACGTAATACTGGACCAGAGAAAGAAAATGTTCTAAATGAATCATTATAAAAAGGTGCAAAACATAAGAAAGAGGAAAGAAGGGAAATGTGCAGGTGCAAAACAAAACTGCAAACAAGAAAGTGCCAGCCAAATTTCCCCTTCTCCTAATAAGAGAAAAGCATTATTAATAAAAAAAAAGGAGCATTCAAAGCATGCAGCCAATAAAAAGCACTTATGAAATGGTAACACAATTTAGAGAAAGGTGATCCTTTGCAAAGCATTGCTTTACATCGGCTCAGGCCGACTTTGAAGAAATGTATCCCACAAGTTATAGGCACAGAGATAACGTCAAGAGGTTATTTTCAAAGAGCTGATTTTTTGTATAGAAAATCGGGTTTGTTTGGAGACCTCCTTTCTCGGCCTACTGCCTCCTCCCTTTCAAGGTCCATGTTTCTTTGTGCGCTGTGATCCAACAAATCACTATCGACAATTCTTCGAAATACTCGCTCGTCCTGTAAGTCCGAGCTGTAGCCGGAATGAGAAGGTCTGCTAGAGGTGAGTCCATAAGTCAAGTCAGTTTCTATTTTCGATCTTCCCCGACTATGATGGGAGCCATGGCTAGCATTCTCCTGGGCAGCAAGCGCCAAGTCCAATCGTTGAGGTGGCTGTTCTAAGACATCGAGGTGCAACGGTTCAGGCTTTTGTCTGTGTGGATGACCATCTTGGGAATACATATATCCTCTCCTGGTTTCTTCTGTTTTTTTAGGAGACATCTGGTTGGACAGGTAAGCAGATTTTAACCCATTTGGTGGTGGCTTACTGTGACTGTACAAATCTGGACCAAAATATAAACCCTGCGAGGGTAATGGTGAATGTCTGCTTGGGACTGGGGTAGAGGGTCTACAAGCTGAGTTGGAGAAGTCATAGAAGTCTGGATACTCTGGCTGGTTCTCTCTGGCTTCTACTTTCTGCTCTATGATTTGTTTCTTCCTGGAGCTGTGCATATGTCTGCTTGTGATGCAGGAAAGGTGCTGGGGTGGACCTGGCATCATATCAGAAACTTGCTGGGCAAGCTGTGTATCAATTGTTAATTCAGGCAGCCGTCTGTCTTTTAGGGACATTGAAGACACCCCCATTGCAATATCTGGCATAAACTCATTCAGAACAGGCTCACCACACTAATAATGGAGAAAAAGAATCAAGATTAGTAACAAATAAATAATAATAAAAAAATATTAACTACCATCTTTACAAAATCATGTTACCGAATAACTTTACTTTAGCTTTAACTTTAAATGTCAAGAAAGCTTAAGTAATTGTGCAAGTTCACAACATATCACTTGTGATACAGCTTTTCTCTTGAACCTCAACAGAACAGACAATGGAAATAAATAAAATAAATATTTATCTCCAATAAAAATAAGAAAGATGATCCCAGGTAATGGAGTACAGGGATACTGTAAAGAGACCACCTCATTGAGAAGAAGTGGTCTGGATGCTTATAGTGTCCCTTTAATGGGTTTTTTTTATCAATTAAAAAGCATAATGACAATATCAATGTGAATTGCAGGGTAATTTGCTGACATTTTGAGTAGGAAAAAAAACAGTAGGAAAAAGAAAAGGCCAGTTCAATATGATGAAACTCAAATATTCAATATCCTAAAAGAAAATGTAATATATTGGAATTGAATCAGCTATGTCACTTAAGTGGCTTCTGGTTAAAACAAGTAAATAATCTTTAAAGTTTGACATGGAGGCAATGGTTTATATAAGTAAGAGTTAACTCTGCTCTCCACATAACCCCCTCTCCAAGGTTTAAAAAGGATTAAAATATGCAATAGCACTCGTTTTATGCACTGCAAAAATAAAAATATGCAATAGTGAGTTACATATGGCCATATTGTATT